CATCTTATCCCAAAAGTAGTATCCCATGTCGTCTAACCCATAACCTATATAGAGGTTCACTTCTTTGACTTTTCCTCTAGCTTGTCTCTCTCAGAGTCTTTAACTATTAAATACAATACACAACATAAGACCTTCATATGTTTGAATGAAACCTCATGAACTTGCCGTTCTTCCTATGGAATTTTGAACCCTATGGGGACTGAGTGTCCTTTGTTGGATAGGTATGCAATCATATTGATTGCATCTGCCCATAATATCTTGGGTAAACCTGCATGCAGTATCATGCTCTTCACCCTTTCATTCAATGTTTTGTTCATCCTCTCAGATACTCCATTTTACTTAGGTGTTTCTCAAACGGTCTTCTGCATCCTGATTCCATGTTCAACATAAAAATCAATGAATTCTTTTCTACCATATTTATCCCTATTATCGAATAATAAATACTCGATTTTTAAGTTAGTTTCATTCAACACAATTGTTTTCCATTTCTTGAAAGCACTGAAAATTTCAGACTTCTGCTTCAAGAAATATACCTAAATTTTCCTTGTGCTGTCATCGATGAAAGTAACATAATACCAAGATCCTCCCACTAAAGCAACTGAGGTGAGACCATAAACATCTTAATAAACAAGTTCCAATTTAACTGTATTGGTCGGATGTCCCATCTTTGTGAAAGTTATATTCTTCTGTTTACCAAGAACAAATGGATCACAAAAATCCATTGTCATGTTCTTCATGTCTAGAAGTCTTCCTTTGGAGGCAAGCATCTTCATTCCCTTCTCACTCATATACCCAAGTGTTTGGTGCCATAGAGTGGATGCCCCAATTTCTTCAATAACATATGCCTCTTTATCAGAAACTTCCACCATGTAAAGTGTACCCCGCTTCTAACCTCTGGAAACCACTAAGTTTCCCTTTGTCACTTTCCAGTAATGATCACCAAAAGTAACATGGTGAGCTTCATCATCAAGTTTCCCCACTAATATCAACATTATTTTTAAGTCCAGAATAAACTTGACATTCTTCAAAGCCCATTTCGTACCTAAAGTAGTCTTGAGGACCACATCCCCAACACCTGTAATATCAAGGCTCTTGTTATCTGCTAGTCTGACCTTCCCTTCGTACCGCTTAAAATTTTGCATTACTTCTCTGGAGTGACTAGCATGGAATGATGCACCAGAATCCATGATCTACGATTCAATTGAGTTTTCAACTGCATAGATAAGAGCATATCCTTCAGATTCTAATGCAATGCTCATCTCATTCTTACCTCTGTCTGCAAGAGGCTTTGTATATTGATTCTTGAAGTTACCCTTTTCTTTGCAATTCTAACAGGTGATGTCCTTCCTGTTCTTCGATAAACCTATCTTCCTTGACTTAGATCTTTCTCTATCTTCATTACCTCTATTGGACTTTTTTCCTCTTTCCTCAGTACTAAGAATACTGTTAGAAGATTCTCTAGCACTTCGCCTGCGCACATCCTCACTAATGATTAAGTCGTATATCCCTTTAAATGTCAACTTGGCACCTCCAGCTGAGCTGCTAACTGATGTCACTGTTCCTGGCCAACTTTCGGGAAATGATCATAATAATAGCAATTCTTGGACATCTTCAAATTTAATCTCAATCGATGTCAATCTTGACAAGATTAAATTAAATTCATTGACATGATGAGTCACCGAACCACCTTCCTTCATCTTCAGATTTATCAATTATCGAATCATATGAATCTTATTCACTACTGAAGGTTTTCGTACATGTTAGATATCACTTTGATTAATAAGTTGTCTTCTCATTGATAATGGTGTAAACAACATTCTTTGCCAATGATAAACTCACTACACCAAGTGTTTGCTGATCTAAAACTCCTAATCCTCGTACTTCATAAGGACCGACTTATCTTCTGACAAAGGTTCATGTAAATTCTTCTAGTAGAGGTAGTCTTTAATTTCCGTCTTCCAGAAACTGAAATCTTTTCCATTGAACTTTTTAATCTTAACTCTCCCATCTTTAGACATAGCTCTGATACCAGTTTGTTGGGGTTAACAATAAAACAAGTTAATCACTTTAGACAAATATCAAAAGAATTTTCAATAAACTCATGGAATTAAAATTTTTGAAAAACGTAAATCAAAAGACATACGTCCATTGGAGAATGAGAGAGAGAGAGAAAGAGAGAGAGAGAGAGAGGATTTTATTAACTTTCTAGAACTATTACAAGCACTTAAAATTATATTTTACTTTGAGTTCCCATATAAATCTAACAATTTACAATGATGGGATATGAGCCTATTTATACGCAAGCATGGGAAACCCTAGTTCTGATGGGCTAGGTCCATCCATAATTATCCCACTAAGGGGATGTCCTAATTTCGAACCAATCGTGGGATGCCATGCATACGCTTCTAGAACCTCCATTCTTCAGAGGCATTGTATTGGTACCATCAATATTCCACTAGCACATAAGGTGTCATTGAGGGTCATATCCTGCCACTTAGTGACATATCTTATCACTTTGGTATATCCGATGACTTGGTGACATATCATGTCACCTGGTGGTATATCCTGTCACTTGGTGGCATCTCCTGTCACTTTGTGGCATATCTTGTCACTTGGTTGCATCTCATTTCACTTTGGCTTATCTTGTCACTTGGTGGCATTTCCTGTCACTTCGTGGCATATCTTGTCACTCGGTGACATGTCAATTCACTTGGTGGCATATCATGTAACTTGGTGGCATATCAGATTTCCAAAGTGGCGCATCATGAAGCATGTGACATCACTCATTCTCCATTCTCCTTCATGATGCTCCACTCTTACTCTAAATGCTCCATATAGATCCTAAGTGCTCCATGTTAGACAAGACTTCATACCCTAACATTTAGACCTTGAGCTTTATCTGTATCATAATCCCATACACTTCGTTTAATCACATGTGCAAAAAATGGGGCTTGAAGAAACTCTCTAAGATTAAAAAAATTATGAGTTCTATTACTAAATGGTAATCCGTTGGGTATTTTACATAGATACATTTTTATCGAAATTTTTAATGGGAAAATTGGTGTTGTTCTGGTAGTGTAAATAAGCATAGCCAAAAAATATTTACTATAGAGAGGTAGATGTTTTTGATTGGATGGGTTGTAATTCACTTAGACATCTTCATTCTACCCAATTTTTTTATATTAAATTCATCATGACTGGTGCTTTTTATCGTTATGGTATTTCTAAATTTCATTTATAATCTAACTATTAAAAAACATATCTCTAGCATAATAATTTTTTTTTTGTGTCAAATGCCATAATTCTACTTCATTTTTTCCTGCCCATTTGACATTTAAGACTTTTATATAGCCTTTCTGTAAATAAGTATGTTAATTAACTTATTTAGTTTAAATTCAAATTAAAAAATAATAGTAAACATGGCAATTGAATAACAATAACTTATCAGTTTAGGCAAAAAGCCACATTAAACTTTATAATTATTGAAATTCAAATAAATTTCTTTTTGCTATATAAATTACTAGGTGTGAGACCCGTGTACTACACGAGTTTATTAAAAATAAAAATTTAATATCAATATATAAATATTAAATATTAAAAAATATACTTTTACATAAATGCGAACGATATAATAAATAAATAAGTAATTCAATGTATACTAATAAAAACTGTTGGCATATTTTAAATAATGATGTTAAAAATTAAAGTGTAATATTAAATATTTTTTAAATTAATTTTCGAAATAAATACAAACAAAATGATTAATAAGTAGTTATTGAATCTATACTAATAAAAAAAATTATTGACATATTGTATACAATTGTTATGAATCAAAATTTTCAAATACTTTTTTGAAGATAGTGTTCTTTTTTATTTATTAGTTTAGAGATACAAATGTATTATACACACATATTTATTTATAAAATTTGAATAAATAATAAATTTGTTAGAATTCAAATTAAAAATCCAAAAAATTAAAGGTAGGTTTTGAATTCAAATATATCATAAAATACACGACATTAATTGTGTCATTAGAGCATCCATTTGAATTCAAATGTATTTGCAAATTAATAAACATTTAAATAGAGTGAATACTTTACATATATAACAGTAGACTCATTAATTAGTGGAATTGATTATTGATTAATAAAAAAAGATACTACATAATGACATATGAAATTTAAATAATTGTAAAATCTCATATAATGACATGTGGCAAAAGCTTTGAGAAAATGACAAGTGAAAAAAAAAACTTTTATTTATTAGAGAGGATGAGGGCACATGCATGATTTTTCTTTAAATCTCTTGCAACTAAGAAGTTTCAACACCTCTGTCTCCTGATATAATTTTATTCTTATGGGTGTGTCATATAATCATATTCAAAGAAAACAAGTACATTTGCCAAAAAAACCATTCATATAGTTCAAGATAAGAGTTGGATGATTCCACCTTACAAGTTGAGATTTTGGAGAAAGAGAAAGAACATATGGAAGAGAATTCAAAATCAGATGTTAAGAAGATGTCGAACATGAGCCCTGTAAATGGTATGATTCCATTTTCTCTATCATTTTCTTAATACTTTTTCTATTTTTTTGGAGTAGAGATGAATTTTGAATCACAATTTGGATTTTCCAAAGTCAAAGCTTTGATTGTCCATGCTTGAAGAACTTGTTGGAACAACGTTTTTATGATCTAGGAAAAAAAACATCAAAATTATTTTAGGCAGCCCCATGGAGAACACGGTTTAATACCTAGTATACATTTAATTAATTGGTGCGTATGAATTTTGTCATTTTCAAATTTCCATAGTACTTTTTCACTTGCTATTTATTAATTAATGAGTTCTTGACGTCAGGTTCAACAAAAAAACACTATAACATATTCGCATGAAACTTATATTTGGTAATAAAGCATTAATTGTCCCATTTTACAATTTGATTAAATGTTTGGAAAGGAATATAGTTTCTCTAAAGATCGGGTGAACATTCAATATGATCATATCAAGGCTTGAATGCAGAAAATGCTATTACTGAGTTTTGTCCACCAAAACCAAATGAATTTGAGATGGCTGCATCCAATAAGAGTTTGAATAAGTGAACTAAATTAAAATCGCAATTGAACCATGGAGAAAAGGAAACAAACTCACCAACGTTGATTTCATGTTGTTGCTTTTGATTTGCAACTGTGTCGAATTCAACTCTAGGTTCTGGGTTCTACAGTTTCAGTGAGGAATTGAAGATCATCATAGTGGAACTATGAAAGGAAAAGAAAATTTAATGTAATGAACAAGCACATACAAATTGATTAATGGTGGGATGCAACCATCCTGTTTGAATCGCTTTGATTGTAGCAATGGCTTCCAAACCTCCAGAGGCTCCCATACTATGTCCAATCATAGACTGATCACCAAAAACAAGAAAAAAATGTCAATACGTTGCTGAAACTTGAACAATCAAAGTGGACTATTAGCTTGTTCACCTTTGTTGCGTTCATTTTGATCCCTTTAGTGTTCTTAAACACCTTCTTTAGAGCATTTACCTCGGCTATATCCCCAATCAAGGTTGAAGTTGCATGTGCATTGATGTAATTCACCTACAAGATTTGGTTCGACAATATAAAGTATGAGTTTCTCTAAAAATTTGACAAAAATTAAGTTGAACTACCTCCTCCGCCGATACACCAGCATCTACAAGGCTGCTTTGAATACAAGATGAAACGGAGAATCCATCAGGTCTTGGATTAGTTATATGATAAGCATCACAATTTACTGCACCTCCCAAGTATTCAGCAAGTATTGGTGCACCCCTTTTCATTGCATGCTCTAAACTTTCCATCACCTGAAATCAAAGCAGATCACCATCGACATAAGCAAAAAGAGATGGGTAGTTTGAAAGGAACAACTCATCAAACATGGGTGGTAAAGTTAACGTTACCAAAACACCAGCACCTTCGCTCATAACAAACCCATCTCTTTGTTTGTCCCATGGTCTAGAAGCAGTTTGGTGATCATGGTTTCTTCGAGACAATGCACTACAAGCAACAAAACCTCCGAATACCAAAGGAATAAGTGGAGCATCGACCCCACCTGCAATCATCAAATCAGCCTTCCCCAGACGGATATTATCAGCTGCAGCACAGAAGCAAGCGTTGGCTGAGGCACAAGCAGCTGAGACGTTGTAGTTTGGTCCCTTAAAGCCAAGGTGAATAGCAAGAACAGCTGAGGCCATGCTTGTTTGAAAATAAGGAATGAAAAATGGTGTAATTTTCTTATAACCTTTCTCCATGAGAGATTTAGCAGCATCAGAAAATACTGTAACGCCTCCAGCTCCTGATCCAACAACCACACCAGCACGTTCCTTATCGATCTGCATGTACACCCATTGGATAAAATATGTAGCTACATGAAAAAAAATACTAAGGAATTACAAACCTTGAGGAGTTCGTGGCTTCCAAGACCAGCATCTTCAAGAGCTGTTTTCCCAGCAACAAGGCAATAGCGTTGAGAATCATCAAGTTTAGAGTCACTTTTGGCATCAATATAACCATCTGACTTAAATCCACGAATCTGTCCACCGAATCGTGTTGGGAATATTGATGCATCAAATTTATCTATTAAACTGATTCCGCTCTCCCCAGCTAAGAGACGATCGTAGTATGTGTCAACATCATTTCCAAACACAGAGACGAGACCCATACCTGTAATGACGACCCGTTTTTTTGCATCTTTCTCCCGCTTAGGGGCTGGGGCAGAGGCTTGAGAAGCTAATAATACATGGGGGAATGTGCGGCTGAGGCGTGCTGGTGATTTGACAATTATGGACGAAGAGTTTTTGGGGAGCATGAACAAGGAGGGATTTTTTAACTGAATAATATGTTGAGCTTCCATTATTGTCTAACAATCGATGTCTAAAGATAGAGTGTATGGTCCTCGTACACATGTATATCTGTGTACACACAGCGAATGAATATGTATTGCAAAACAGGGAGTTTTAAATACACGCCACTCTATTTTCCAAATCCGTCCTCCTAATCTAAGTTATAATGAATTTTTTTTGAAGTCATTTAGTTTTAATGACTTTTACATCTTTCATAATGAGTGTAATCTAAGTTATAATGATTTTTTTTGGAAGTCATTTAGTTTCAATGACTTTTACATCTTTCATAATGAGTGTTGACATTATGACCTTACCCATCACATTTGTCAATTTTGTCAATGCCATAACTCAACTTTTTCCAAGCCATATATATATATATATATATATATATATATATATATATATATATATATATATATATTCAAACGGCAAGAATTTATTAAAAGACCTGACTAGCAAGTAACTAGCCGGGAAACAAGAAAAACATTATATAATAGTTTTTTTCGGGTTTTGAGTGATGTATTTCTTACATCTAGCATTACACCAAAAGCAAGACCTAGAAACAATATTATGAAAAACACGAGCTGCCTTGGGTTTTGTACCACCAAACAGGAGTTCAAACTCCCATATGGACCACCACCTAACATAGAAAACACCCTCTAGAATGTTTTTTTTGAAACAGACGAAAACACAAAAGCTTTTAGGCAGACCAACCCATTCGCATAGAAGAGAAATTGGGCACCGACAAACCATACCACCTACTCACTTGAAAAACAATACCAGAAGATAACACACTAAAAAAAGAGATGAGACGAAGACTCGAGAACATCTTCACAAAGAGGGCATAACAAAGAGTGCAAGTCTAACCCCCTCGTGTCTTGGGTGACCCTAATAGGAAGTTTATCAAGAGACAAGCCGAAGACATTGTGTAATAACCTAGCATGGACCGAAGAAAAGGAAATTGAGTCAATAAGCGATGAAACGCCTTCCTATTGTAAACTCTCAGCCACAGCTATAGGAGGCCTCCGAAAGAAACCAACAAATAATCATGATTCAACTTTTCCTTAACCAAAATGTTTTTATTGTTCTCCAAGTTATAAATTATGGGAAAATGAGATTTGAGCAACAAATCACCTAACCATGAATCATCTCAGAAAGAAATAGAATCACCATCACAATTTTTTTTTTTGAATAATTGAAGTAGATGTACATCTAACCCTTTAAGATGATCCACAACTTTAACAATCTCCACCAAAGTCGAATCTGTTAAAGAAGAAATATTCTCAAAAAGACATCCCGAATTACCATAAATAGAGTTAATCACTGAGACCCAGAAAGTCATCGGATTAGATAAAAAAATGCCAAACCCATTTGAAGTAGAGAGCACGATTTAAGGCAAACAAACTATTAACTCCTAGGCCCCCAAATTGCTTTTGAACAAGGTTCTTTTTCCATCTTATAAGAGATAAAAAAATTTCGTGTATCTTAACTTCTAGGAAAAAGTTATTACGTAGGGCTTCTAACTTAGATAAAACATCTTTAGGGGCTTTATAAATAGACATGAAAAAAAAGTAGTTAAAGCTCTAAGCACTGATTTGATAAGAGTCATTCTTCCACCTATCAATAAAGCCTTGACTTTCCAATTAGACAATTTGGAAGCAAGCTTTTGGACCATCTCATGCCAGGAATCCAAACGAGACATACTACCACCAACGATAAGACCAATATAAGGGAACATAGTTTTCAAAATAGAAAGCAGCCACCGCATCAACCTTAGAAGCGTGAACCCTAATACCTAAAAGCTTACTTTTATAAAGATTAATCTTCAAAGTTGAAGCCAAATGAAAACAATGAAGAACTCAAACAAGATTTTGAATGTTAGAATCTTTCAATTCACCAATAAAGACTACATCATCCGCATAAAATAAGTGAGTAATAGTAACATGAGAATCCGTACCAAGGGTGAGATCATCACCAAGATGAAAAGAAAAAGAGAAAGATGGTTTCCCTATCTTAGACCTTTAAAGAACGTGAATTCATCTATAACCGAATCATTCACCAAAACAGAGCCCCTAGAAGGATAAAGACAACCTCGAATCCTCCCACTCTAAATCTCACCAAAGCCCATAAACTTTAAAATATCATCCCAGAAATCCCACTCAACTGATTCAAAAGTATTTTCGAAATCCCTTTTGAACACCATAGTTTTAACATCCGGATTCTCAGGTATATTATTTTATTATTTAATTTTAGATTTGTGGAGTGACTCGACAAGTTGGTGCCTCAACTCATCGAGTAAAATCGCGACCGGTGGCGTGTATTAATAAATGGACTCGAGGAGTTTGTGAGGTGACTCGCCGAGTCAGCGCTGCTGAAGGAAACCCTAAATTCTCGGGCCTGTGACCTATTTAAGGGCACCTATAGCCTCCATTTTGTCTCACCAGAACCCTTACACCCTTGAGAGAAACCATAAGGTCCATAGTGAGCTAGAGTGGTGATGATAGCTAATCTTGTGTTCATTTTGGCTCATTTCCTTGAAGAGGAAGGAAGGTTCTTGAAAGATCAAGAAGGGAGGGCCAGTGGATGTGATTCTTCTTCATCTCAAGCTTCTGATTGAGGTAAAAAGCTTTTACCTTTCTTGTAGGATGATTAGATCTCATGTTCTTGGGATTTAGGGCTTGTAACACCTTCTTGATGGGGCTATGGATGCATCAAGCCCCTTTTTGAGTTTAGACTTCAGATCTGGACCTTGTGAGGTCCAGAGAGTCCAAAAGTATAGAGCCTTAGTGAATCAACCAAGGAGTTTTGGGTTTTGGAAGCATTCATGGAATAGTGATGGCATATAGAGCAATATATGCCATGTATGGTCGTCAAGATCAAACCTTTACGTGAATTTTGGGCATTGGGAGGCTAGATCTAGAGGTTGGAGTAGCAGATCTGACCTCAGGAGCCCAAATGAGAAACTCGAATGAGTCAACTCGCCGAGTCTATGAGATGGCTCGACGAGTGGGATCGGGTTGCCCTAGCATTCTGAACCCAATGATAACTCGTCGAGTTGGGGGGTCAACTCGACGAGCAGAGTGAAACCCTACGAGGAGCTCTGAGGATACGAGTGGACTCGGCGAGTCACAAGGGTGCACTCGGCGAGTCAGGTCAACTTTGACTGTGGTTTCGTATTGACTTCTGTTGACTTTATGGTTGGGTCAAGTATGAGCATTTGAGACAAGGGAGGGGTAAAATGGTCTTTTACCCATTCCAAGGGTTAGAAAGAGTGTAAGAGAACTTTTGGTGTATTTGAATAAGAGTGGGCTTTTGATTTGAGATGCTTATCGAATATGTTAGGCGGAGGCTAGATCGAGGATTTCGAGCATGAGATTTTACTAGCTAGCTTAAGAGTGACATCTATATGTGACCAGAGGGTCTTATGTGTTATTTGAGTACTGTGATATTACTACATTATACTTGCGTGATTTATGCTATGTGTATTCAAAGTTTACAGAGTTAGGACCGGAGGGTCCATCAGAGTTGTGGGACTGGAGGGTCCCACTGAGACACATTGACCAGAGGGTCTTACAGAGTTATAGCTTCGAGTGGCTAATATGATGTATGTGGTATTTTGAAGAACTCACTAAGCTTTATGCTTACTGTGTTACGTGTTATGTGTTTCAGGTACTTCCGAGGATCGCGGGAAGGCACTGGCGTGATTGTACACACCTGTTTGAGATCATGTTGAGGATTCTGGGATTTGACTTTCGATATGGATTTATGTTGACTTTGAGACACTTATGATTTTTATGAAATATAAGATATGAGTTTATGTGATTTAAAAATGAAAAAAAATTGGTTTGAAAAATTACATCGTTATAAGTTGGTATCAGAGCCTTGGTTTGAGGGATTCAGATGCACCTTTGGGTATGTCTGGACTCAAACTGATGATTTGAGAAATTTTTCTAAGAGAAATGATTTTTTTTAAATGAGTAAGAGTTTCTAAGAGAAAAACGAGAAAGAGCAATGTGTATAATCATCCAGCGCCCGAATGATGATTTCCCAAAATACCCTTACTTTCTATGTTCTGATATATTTATGAGATATCTATTATGCATGCTTGAGAGTAGGCTAGGTATTTCATATTTTAGGACTAGAGTGGCCTGATTTGTGATGCCTTTGCCTAGGAGTTACTGCTACTTGTGATTTGCTTTGAGTTCGAGTATGTAGCAGAAATGAGCTTATGAGGGTAGTCGGTGTTCGGTAAGATATAGAGTACTTGCAATCTAGAATCCTAGGAGGAGGATTTGGGGTGATTACAAATGCGGTGTGGAAGGTAGTATTGGGACCGTACTACTGGAAGCACCGGGTCGGTGAGCAGTTCAAGTAAGAATCCTTGGGATGCTAAGGAGCAAGTAGGGGAGTGATCGAGTGTGAGTATACTAGAGCGAGTCTCTGATTATTTTGTGTTGTATTTCAGAGACATCATGGTGGGTACACGCCACAACCCACGGGGCAGTGATACCAGTGACGATGATATTCGAAGGATGATTCATGAGGAGGATGCCGCAGCCATCCGAGCATAGATTCCCATGATGTTTGGGTCTATCATGACCACCCTGATTGAGACATTTGATGAGCGATACGCTGCTGTCACTGAGGCTGCTGCTGCTGCCGCCACTACAGCCGTCGCTGCTGCTAGGCTACAGGGAGGTGACTCGTTGTTGTTCCGGGAGTTCATCAACACGAAGCCACCAGAGTTTGATGGGACACAGGATCCGATTGTTGCGATGAGATGGATTTCTGATATCGAGGGGTGTTTCTACACTTGTTCATGTCCCGAGCACTTGAGGGTACGGTTCACGCTGAACCAGCTTCGTTTAGGAGCGAAGGATTGGTGGAAGTTTGTGACAACTCATTTTACTCCTGCAGAGCACACTGCCTTGACTTGGGAGAGATTTATTGTATTGTTTCGAGATGA